TCACAGTGGTGTCCTTAAGTTACATCAAAGGATTCACACTGGGGAGAAACCTTATAAATGCATGGAATGTCGAAGGAGCTTTAGTTGGAGTAGTGGCCTTAAGTCACATGAAAGAACTCACAGTGGGGAGAAGCCTTATAAAAGCTTGAAATGTGGGAAGAGCTTCAGACGGTGGTGGCCTTAGGAAACATGAAAGAACTTACAGTGGGGAGAAGCCTTATAAATGCATGGAATGTGGAAAGAGCTTTAGTCGCAATGATAACCTTAGGAATCATGAAAGAACTCACACTGGGGAGAAGCCTTATAAATGCATAGAATGTGGAAAGAGCTTTAGTTGCAGTGGTGACCTTAGGAATCATGAAAGAACTCACACTGGGGAGAAGCCTTATAAATGCATAGAATGTGGAAAGAGCTTTAGTTGCAGTGGTGACCTTAGGAATCATGAAAGAACTCACACTGGGGAGAAGCCTTATAAATGCATAGAATGTGGAAAGAGCTTTAGTTGCAGTGGTGACCTTAGGAATCATGAAAGAACTCACACTGGGGAGAAGCCTTATAAATGCATAGAATGTGGAAAGAGCTTTAGTTGCAGTGGTGACCTTAGGAATCATGAAAGAACTCACACTGGGGAGAAGCCTTATAAATGCATAGAATGTGGAAAGAGCTTTAGTTGCAGTGGTGACCTTAGGAATCATGAAAGAACTCACACTGGGGAGAAGCCTTATAAATGCATAGAATGTGGAAAGAGCTTTAGTTGCAGTGGTGACCTTAGGAATCATGAAAGAACTCACACTGGGGAGAAGCCTTATAAATGCATAGAATGTGGAAAGAGCTTTAGTTGCAGTGGTGACCTTAGGAATCATGAAAGAACTCACACTGGGGAGAAGCCTTATAAATGCATAGAATGTGGAAAGAGCTTTAGTTGCAGTGGTGACCTTAGGAATCATGAAAGAACTCACACTGGGGAGAAGCCTTATAAATGCATAGAATGTGGAAAGAGCTTTAGTTGCAGTGGTGACCTTAGGAATCATGAAAGAACTCACACTGGGGAGAAGCCTTATAAATGCATAGAATGTGGAAAGAGCTTTAGTTGCAGTGGTGACCTTAGGAATCATGAAAGAACTCACACTGGAGAGAAGCCTTTTAAATGCATGGAATGTGGAGAGAGCTTTAATCAGAGTGGTGCCCTTAGGAACCATGAAAGAACTCACACTGGGGAGAAGCCTTATAAATGCATGGAATGTGGAAAGAGCTTTAGTCAGAGTGGGGTCCTTCGGTTACATGAAAGAACTCACACTGGGGAGAAACCACATAAATGCATGGAATGTGGAAAGAGCTTTAGTCACAGTGGTGCCCTTAGGTTACATCAAAGGATTCACACTGGGGAGAAATCATAGAAATGCATGGACAGTGGAAAGAGCTTTATTCAGAGCTCATGGTAAGTTAAGGAGGGATAAGGAGCGCCTTCAGTTTTGTGCTGGTTTCCAGTGGAAAGACTAAGCAACCAAATGCTGACTTAATGCAAATCGGAGAGAAAAGAGAAAAAATGGAGGGCATTTTGAAGTGCCACTTTTCATGTGTTCTATTGTTAGTTAACAGAGAAATATTATAAAATAGACGTGGAACCTTGTGCTTAAAAATGAGAAAAATCATATATTTTACAATGGAAGCTTTTATAAAATTAGTGTAAAAAGAGAACAAGATGTATGTTCTAAAGCTAACTGATGAAAGAAAAGCAAGTAGTGAAGAGAGAAAAGCTGTCATTTGTTTTAGAAGGCTTTACCCTCATAAATAATGATAGTAATTGAGTTTAAAGAGGGTACCAATTAATATATATTCTGTATTATTTATGAGGAACTAAGCATTTCTGTGGTATTGTACTGAGAGTACAGTATACTGTTTTTGTAATGTCAGGGATTGTTGGTGTTGTAAAATTCAATATGTAACATGTCTTTCTCTTTAATGGATAACCTTGGAAGGAACATCATGTGCTCCCTTATAAATGTAGTTTTTTTCACCCTCTATCTCCACACCCTCCCTCGGACGGTGCAAAGCTACGTGCAAGGCAGAACCTTTTGAGTTTGCCTACTTATTGGTGTTACCTTGAATGCTGTTGCATATTTTGCTCAATTGTATATGGTATGTAATATATTTTTCGATGTTATGTTTATTTACTAGGGATCCCCGTGTACCTTTTCCCTAAGAGGCTTAGATTAAGTATATATTTAAAACAACTTCTCTCGGTGTCTCGCAACCTCCTTTATAAATTTCACAACAGTTGGAAGGAGTGGAAATCTTGTTTTTGCAAGTTCTGGTCATTTAAGGCCTGGGAGTGCAGTGGGTTAGAGGTGACCAAATCCTTTGATCCTTAACATGTGAGAGGCTGGAAAACACAAGCCTTGGGAAGATTTGGTTTTGTTGACTGATGCAGAACAAAGGGAGATAAATATTTGGAAAGCTGTCCCACAAAATGTTCTTAGAAAGGAATAGGGAAACATAGATGTTTGGTTTCATGAAGTACAACAGATGATGGAACTGATCCTGGGCGAAAGTCCTTGGAGGAGCAGAAAGACAATCACGAGGGACTGATAGCCAGCAATGGATTTTACACATGGCTGGGTGAGAACAAAATTTTCTCTGTGTTAGCAACACACTTGGAGCCAAATAGTGCTTTTTTTAACATTATATATATATATTTATTTTTAAAGTTTCAATAGTTTTGCATGTCATTCATTGATCAGGAATATCATTCATTGACTAGGAAGTTGGAAGTGTTCTGAAGATGTATTCCGTCTTTCTAGATTTAAAACATTTCAGTCTTTTAATGTGTTTGTATTTTAGATTCAAACATGTCTTAGATATTCCCTTTTATCTAAATTTAAATTCCTGCATCTTTTTGCAAGGGTGTATTGTAAGTAAGCCTGGAGTTTTTGCATAACTGTATGATGTTTGGATTTGAAAATCTGTACCAACAGTTTTTTCCTCATGCCTGTAAGACTGCCTTACACGTTTTTTTGGATTTAGTATATTGAAGTATGGAATCTAGAAATGATGTAAATAAATGAACTTGTACAGAATTAACAAGTTTTGGAATTGCCTGGAATCATTGCAACAATGAAAAGACTTCTTACGAGATACCCAGATGAGCTTCAAACACCTTGTCACTGGTAGTCTATGTGAGGAAGAAATTCAGGTTAAACCCATTCTGACTGGAGTGCCGTCCTTTCCCGAGAAGAGGAGGGAAAAACCCAATGGAGCCCCGGAGGCTGAACATATGACCCATCAGAGAAGTGACAACTCAATGGGGAGAACAGGAAGATAGATGAGAAGGTTCACAAAGAAACGAGGAGGGTAGAGATAGTTCCGGATGAAGAATCAAAGTTTGGGACCAATGTAGGGATGGGAGGGTCTGGAAATAAAGAGCCTGGGGTGTCTAAAGTGGAAGTTCCAGAGAGGAAAGCAGAAGGTCCATCAGAGGAAAGAAAGGATCCACTGCGTAAAGGAACCTTAGGAGTAGCAGAGATGCAGGAGAAAACGAAAGGAATAAGACAGGAAGAGGGAAGAGAAATATATCTTGGGGAAAAATCAAGAAGGGCAAAAGAAGGAGAGGATGTTACCACAAGGCTGGGAGTGGATATGAATGGAGAAACCCTGGACCAAACAGTGGGAGAACTTGATGATACCTCATGAGTGGCAGAAAGGCAAGCTAGCTGAAGAGAGGGAGAAATGGAACAGCCCCCCAGAGAGGGCTTTTGGCATGACCCTGGTGGGTCAGTTGTGTTTATTGGAACTCACAGGAGAAACCGTACATCTCCAGATGTTTGAGAATACCAAACCCCCAGAGATTCTCATTTTGAGAATCACCCTTTTCCTGCGATCGTATCATCACTGATGAATCTCCTTGCCTGGGAGGTCTGCAAATTTCTGTAGGATTTCTGTGGAGTAAGGTATCCTAATGAAGTTCTGTAGTACCTGTAGAAATGCATGGACCTTAGGAGGATCTTTTATAAAAGCAATCTTTCTATTGATCCAAGATCTCATACAAAGGGAAAACTTTGAAATGCAAAGAATGTGGGAACACCTTCAGTCTAAGCAAAAACCCACACAGCAGTAATTTTATAAGTCTGTTGTGTGAGGAAAGGGTTTGAGTGACAGTGGGGCACATACGAAATGTTGAAGACCTCCGGGACGTGAGAAATTCTCTCCGTATCACACGCCTACCATGGGAGTAAGCTTGGAGACGAACCCAACGACAGGTAAACTCCATGTTTCCTTACATGGATAAAAAGGTAAAGGTTCCCCTTGACAATTTGTCCGACACTAGACGGCAATGCTCATCTCCGTTTCCAACCCATAGAGCTAGCGTTTGTCCGCAGACAATCCTCCGTGGTCACGTGGCCAGTGTGACTAGACATGGAATGCCATTTACCTTCCCACCGAGGTGGTACCTATTTATCTACTCACATTTTTGCATTTTGCATGCTTTTGAACCGCTAGTTTGGCGGGAGCTGGGACAAGAGATGGGGGCTCACTCCGTCACATGAGTTCGATATTACGTCGGCTGGTCTTCTGACCTTGCAGCACAGAGGCTTCAGCAGTTTAACCACATCGCCACCACGTCGCTTACATGGACTCCTTTCCATCATAAGAATATTATACTCTGGCACAACATACTGATTAATACTTTCGTATCTTATTTAAAAAAAGTTAAGCATGAAAATTCTAAATTGTACGAGGCTGTGGCTTTCCTTGACTTAAAAGCAACTTTCGATTCAGAAGCCACTGGCAATTGTGCGGCTAAAAAATATTGTAAATAAATAAATAAATAA